CCCCCCCCCCCTGAAATCTAGATTCAAAGTGAATAAATAAGTTAATAGAAAAAAGAAATAAGTTAATTATCCCACTGAAAAAATATATTTAAAAATGATGGTGGGGTTTCCCCCACAACTTTATTTAGTTTTACTTTTGACTAACCAATGTGAAACGAATCCTAATAGATTAACTACATTTGGCATTTTACTAGGGAAAGGCAAACCCTCATACAGTTCAGGAATTTATCCTTTTCAGCATGAAAGAAAAGAGGTGAATAAACATCGAGTAAGTAATATCCTATGATCTTTCACTACAAGTTCAATATTACCACAAATCTGTTTTTATTTTTCATATATATATATATATATATATATATATATATATATACATTCATACATATATACATATATAGATACAGATACAGATATAATGTTTTATAGAAGAGTCAGAAGCCTTGCTAAGCCATGATCATCCTGAAGCTCACAGACCACATTCTCCAGATGTCATCTGCCTCAGAAGCTGTAAGGATTCCCTGGGCAACAGTTGGTTTTTGGTTTGGAGCAGCACACTAGGGAACCACACTGGAATGAGCCTGGAAGCTGACACAGCAGAAAGCAGGGACACTATATAAAGATCCTAGGAGCTGTGTCAGGTAAGCTGAAATGCCAAGGAAGGGCAATCTGAACTTCAATGAATAATGACTATAATTGCATAACAGAAAGATGCTTTCGATGAAACCCTCCTGAGTCAGTAACACGTTAAACATAACAGCAAGATGTAAAATTACATGTAGAAATTATGGTCATTGTTTGGAGCAACAAGCAATCATGGGGAAGAAGAGATGGAATAAGCCTATTTTACAGTGCAAATATAAAAGGAACTATTCTAGGAATAAATTGAGCAACACATGTAAGCATTCTATATGGAAAACACTAGAAAGTCTTGCTAAATTTCACAAAACTGTGTTTTAAGTAAAAGGAAAAAAAATCCTCTGCTCTCCAAGAGGGAAATATGTCAATTATTGTCCATTTTTCTAAAAGTATTTTAATGGAGCTATATTCTATAGTTTATATGGGAAAAAATAATATAAAAGCAAGCCGTAATGAGGCAGGCCTAACTCTTTCAGACATTGCAATAGACTGTACAGACTATAATTAAAACAGTATAAATTTAGAATATGACAATATCTGATCAATGTGGAAAAGAAAAAAACATAGATCAGGATCCATGTATAATGTTGAAATTAACATAGGTGGTATCTCTCATCCCTGGACATAAAGAGGAAGAAGGATTTTATAAAATTAACTTGCTAGCATAAGTAGACAGCCATTTGAAAACAGAAAAGTCATCTAGGTAGAATTTCCACCAGTCTTATTAATATGCAGAAACAGTCAAATGGAGAGAGTGAAGAACATTCTGGAAGGATACTCACCCTAGTCAATGTCAAGAAAACAGCAAGTAAGAGAGGGTGGAGAACTGAACGGAAAGAAGCCGGATAATTGGCATCTAAATGTCTTAGGTGATCAATCTATTCCTAGATTTAAATTGTATCAGCAAATGATAAAGTAAAAAATGAATATTTTTGGAACAAGTGAGGATATCAAATCATATTAACTCTATCAGATAGAGGTTACCAAACTTGTTATTTTTCCTGACTCCTGCTGTATTTTAAGCCTTGTGGGGTTAAGAGGGGTAGAGATTGAAGCTAGCAACCAGAGACTAGAAATCATATCTGTATTCCTCCTGAATACCCACGCTCCAGTGTCACCCCCTTCCCCACGTCCTGCTTTTTGTGTTTATAACCCCTGTGTGAATGAGTATAAATTACAATTTGAAAAAATAAATAAATTATATATTTAAAAAAAAAGAAATCAGGGATGCTGCAAAATACTAAATCACTACAGCTCTTGAACACACAGCATCATCACCTAGCCCAAATCCCCACCACCACGGGTGGTTGAGAAACCCTGATGGAGAAAATTTTCTTATTCTGAGAAACTAGGTTGAAGCACAGGATCTTATCGTTTACATGGGTCTAGTATGGATGTTTCTGGAGGAAGATAGACACTGTTTACAAGTAATTCAGAATCCTGTGTGTGTTCTTCCGCCCACAAGCACCAGCAGCAACCGGTTCTCAGCCGCAGCTCAGCGAGCCGCCCAGGCTAAACCTTGACCGTGGCCTGCGCTGTGGGCGTGGCCTAGCGGTGGGCTGGGGGGGGGGGGAACCAACACCGCGCGTGCGTAGAGCTGTCAGCCGCGCCCACGTCGCGCTTTTACCAAAGTTGCAAAGCAACCTGCAGACCTGTCAGAACGGTAAAGATCCCAGCCACCGAAGAAAGGCAAAACCGCTCCGCGTGGGATGCCCGGAGTGGCATCGAGCCTTGTTCCAGTCCGAAACGGCTCCCGCTACTCTAAGCTGGCTGAAGGGATGCGAGTATTCTCCTCCTGTCCAACCGGGCTGCGTCCTGACACCGAGTGGACTCCGCCTCATGAGTGGGAGCATCTGCGGAAGGCATCTGGCCACACCCTGATCCTCGCCGGTCCCTCTCCCGGCAATGCAAGCCCAGGTAAAGAGAGAGAGAGAAAAAAAAAAAACTTTACGTGCCTTAAGATTCCTCTGGAGAGTCGCCGATTAGTGAGTTACCAGTTCTGTGACCACCCCCACTGCCCCGGTGAAGAGCGAAATCCGTCACGTACTCATCTTTCACAACCTTGTATAGGAGGAGGAAACACCCACTCACGGCCGCGGGCCATACACGCTTGCAGATTGTAGTGGCAGGCAAATTCTTCACTTTCTGGGAGCCGGCACCGCTTCCCTGGTGCTTGCAGAAAGAATTCTGTAAGGATGCCCCTTCGCTTGCACAGGTTCTGAACATCGCCGGGGAATCCCACGCTCCTGTTTGCTCCTCCTCCCAGGGCCGGTTACCAGTCACCCACCAGGAACCCCTTAGAACAGTAGCCAAACCGTCCAGCCTTTTATTCTGAAATAGCCACTTTCCGTGGGTAGTAAAGTCCAACGTTTTGGATAAATTGGCTTAGTGTAAAAAAGGTAAACTATTGTATTTTGATAATTTCTCTTTTGTTGTGATACGTCCAACCGTGATCATTTAAAACATACTGAAAAGTGTATAGAGGAATTTTGAAACTCTGCATAATCCCAACAAACTTAAAACAACTTGAAAATCTTTATGTATGCTTTTAGCGCCCTCCCCCCTTTTTCAGTGCTTACTTGGCAAGATCGTTTACTGAACAACTAGGTTGTTGAAGCTGTTTAACATTTGTTGAAAATCAGCACAGAAAATAGTACGCCAATTACAAATCCAGTTCAGCCCTTAAACAGACGTGCTCTGGCAACAATCTGATGATAAAATCTAGTACAAGCCTCCTTCATCCCAGTCTGTATCAAAGAAAGCACATTCACCCTAAATATAGACGTTGCCTTAGCCTTAAGTATTCTAGAATTGTTCTTTCTGTCATGATAGTTATTCATCAAATAGTCTGTAATACCCCGCGCCTTTCACTCCACACTGTATTTGAGTTTATGCATGTTGTCTCATGCAATGGCTCTTTTAAAAATATTCTTTCACTCTTACGCTGTGTGGCCTCCAGTGTTTTGGATATACACAAAATATTTTATTACTAATGGTACTAATGAGATATAATTCAAGCCATACAATTCATCCATTTAAAGTATGTGATTATTTTTATTATATTCACTTTGTGGGACCATTATTACAGTCAAATTGTACACCATTTTCACCTTCTGAAAAGCATTACCCTCCAAAGATACCCCCTATTCCTTCATCCCCAAACAACCAACATTCTTGACTATAGACTTGCCTATTGGGATCATTTTCTAAAAGTTCAATCATGTTGTAAGGAAGTAATTTGTGGCTAATCTCCCATAGTGATACTGTACATTTAGTTCCAGGTTTAGTGTTTTTACAAATAATGCTCACATGAGTATTACTCTTATCTGTTGTCACATGGATTTGCCTCTCTTGATATATGTGCCTGCATGTCGAATAGCTCAGACATGTCCTATGCTTACAGTTAGAGTTACAGTGCGAGCTTTTCAAACTGTCATACTAACCTGGTCTGATAAGAATTCTCAGTATTCCACCTTCGCTGGCATTCAGTGGTTGTATGGGGTTAACTTACAAAGACTTCTGCTGACTGACGACAGATCTTGCCATTATTCGCCACTTACATATGCTCTTTAGTAAAGGGCTGTTTAGTTACATCTATTGATTGACTTCGAAATTATAAATGCTGCCTATGTTCCACAACCAAATGCATTTTTCTCCTCTACAGTTTGTATTTTACCTCTCTCATTGATAGATTATTATAAATGTGTAGCTTTTTCTCCCCCAAGGCAAGTAAGTACCTTGCCTAACCTATAAATAATCATTTCTTACCCACAAGGATGTTTACCTATCTTGCCCTCTTATGTGTGTTTGATATACTACCTGAAATTAACTTGCGGGTCTTGTATAAGATTTTTTTTTAAACATGATTACCTAATTGGCCTAAATCTTTCTTTTAAAAATGTAAACATCTTCTCTCACAATTCTGTACTATCACCTTGATCACAAATCAGAAGAGACAGATTTATAGAGGCTGGGATTCGTAGAAAAGGACTGTAGACTAGCATGACGAGTATATTAAACGGTTTTACTAAGGGTTTATTTCATAGGTGAAGGCAGAATTTCAAGAGAAATACAAATAGTATGGAAAAAAATGGAATGTAAATCCGAGAACTGAGAAAATAACTGGAACCATCAGAGGTTATCAGGAGAGTTGGCCCGCAGACACATTTAACTAAACTTAGAATTTTTCTGAAGTTAATGTATATCAAGAAAAATGTTATTGTTGTTGTTGAATAGCCAGGGTTTGGGTAACTTATAAAATAGTATGAGGTAACCTAGCACACATGACATTCCCTGAAGGGAAGACAACAGCGTAAGGAACAGAAAGCTATTTAATAAGGTTATAGCCAATTTCTAAATTTTACTGAATGTGTTTTATCCAGAATGATTACCTGTTTACAGCCGAGAACTGATCCAGGCATCAAGTTTGCCATTAGAGGAGTTAACTGTTCAAAAAAATAAGTTAAAAGTTTTATGTCTATTTAAATGAGTAAGAGGTCATTTTAAAGGCATATGGTAGGTGGAAAATTGCTGAGTTGAGTCGTGCTGTGGTGCTGTGTGTGGCTGTCCTTTAGTGTCAGCTCTGCCTACCCACCAGGCCTATACCGTCACACCAATCTGGACAGTGTCAAAATGGCTTCCCAGGTCTTCCCAGCATCTCCTCGTGCACACTGTGGGCCTGCATTGACTGAGATCCACTCTCATACAGTCTGCCTCTGACTCCTGATCATGCCTTCCCAAGCTCCTCTTTCAATGCTTAAGCCTCAAACTACCCTGGCATCCCTCCAGCTCAGGGCTCCCCGTATTGTGTCTTCCTTTCCAGAATTCTCCTCTCCCAGATAGCCTCTGGCTGCCTTTTCTTCTTCTTCAGGTTTTTGTTAAAATTCTATTTTCTCTGTGAGGCCAGAGATTAAAAGGAACAAAAACAAATATTCTCTCTGTGTGTGCATTAGTTTGCTGGGCCTGCCACAGCTGATACACAGACTAAATGACTGTGTAAGAGAAACATCTTGGTTGTGGAGGTTAAAAATTCACAGTCAAGGTATTGGTAAGTTGAGATTCTCCTGAGGCCTTTTTGATGTATGCTTGGGCAACCCAGTCAGTATCTGAGGGACTACCTTTTAATCTTTTAAGTCCTTCTTTTAATCTTTTCTTTAAGTGTCACTTCCAGGGTCTGGACAGATAACCCAGGAGTTAAGAGCACTTGTATCTCTTACAAAGGACCAAAGTTTTATTCCTAGGACCCATATCAGACAGTTCACAGCTTCCTATAACTCTAGCCGCAGGGTGCCTGACACTCTTTTAGCCTTCATGGGTACCCCCAGATACCTACCCATAAACAGACACATGGACGTAATTAAAAATAAAGTCTCCAGATACACTTAAGTTATGGATATTTGGTTGTAAGGACTTCAATATGAGACTTCTATAGAGGGAACATAATATTGTCCACACTATCCATCCGTAGTTTATTTTTGTCTGTAGTTCTTATTTCAAATACGATATGTTTTAGTTACTAATTTATTTGTTTTCTCATTTTCTGTCCCACTGGAAATTTTATGAGGGACAGATTGGAAGCAATGTTGTTCTCTGTGGTTTCTTTTGAACTTCAGATGGGTTTAAGAACCAGCCACAGCAAAAAGAAGTGTTAACACCTTCACCTGTGGTTAGCACATCGGCAGTCTTAAGTTATTCCTAGTAGGTCACTATTGTCTCTCTGAACCTTCTGTAATTTTTTTCTTCATGAACAAAGAAAACCCTGTAAGGATTCCAGTAAAGCAGACTTTTTATTTTTTTGTAAGTTATCTTCAATTTCTTAACAGAAAGAATTATAGCAGTAAAAGATGTAGCTTTTCACCAAGGAGTCTTAAGAATGCGGCGTGCTTGTTTCCAGAGCAACCAAGGGCTTTTCACGTTTAATTACAATGAAAGCTCCTCCATGTTACACTGGAGTATCCATACGAATGCCAAGGACCCCCTTACTCAGAAAAATGCTCAGAGCCAAACATCCTAGAGAAAATTGCCTATTCAATCACAAGCTAACCTGTGCCACCTTTTTGTTTCTCCTTAGGTGGTTAGACTCAGAATGGACTGTGAGCTTTCAAAAAGGAGAAAGATGGAAGCCACCAAGTATGCTGCCAGCTGAATGAATTGATGCCCTATGGCTTGTACAAAATCGAGCAGATTATCTTCTCATGTTACTCTCATGTTGTGAAATATGTCGACGACCTGCTTACCTTACTTCTTTAATCTAGGTTCTCCTTGGAAGTAGCACTTGGAACAAGACGTAGATAACTTCTACTGGGGAATGAGATCTTAGGAGCGGGAAAGAAAGACAGAGGGGCTGAGTCTGAACACGTGAAAGAGAATCCAAGGAAAGCGGGGAAGCATTGTCAAGAGCTCATTAGCTGTTAGACCAAAGCATTACACACACACACATACACACACACACACACACACAGAGAGAGAGAGAGAGAGAGAGAGAGAGAGAGAGAGAGAGAGAGAGAGAAGCATTTTTCTTCCCTATCAGCACCCATCTCTGTGTGAGGGTTTTTCCCTTCACATCCCAATTCTGCTCTCCCCGTAAGCTGTGAGGGAACCTTGTCACATCAGAGAAGCCTCGGGTAAGGAGGCTGGATGCTTGGAATAGTGCTTGAAGCACTGTTAACAGAGAGTAGGGTCCAGTCTTCCAAAGTCATGACCCAAATCCAAAGTTGAAAAGACCTGAGCAGTGTATAAGCAGCCTCTTAGAGCCTGCATAGTACATTTTTAGGCCTGAATAAATCTATTTGCACTTCTTTTTATAATCATACTTACGTAGATAAGGTTGGCAGGAGGAAGATTAAATATATGAGGTGTATGTTTATAACAGTTTTAACCTCAAGTCATGTTTATTTATAAGAGAAAATGACAGCGGAATTTGGAAAATTAAGAAGTGATTCTTGTCAGTTAGTGGTGGCACAAACCTTTAATACAGCACTTGGGAGACAGAGATAGGCAGATCTGTTGACATTGAGGACAGCCCAGTCTACAGAGTAAGTACGGGGACAACCAGCCACAAAACCACCTAGAGAAATCTTATCCTGAAAGCTTAAAAAAACACAAAGGCTGATTCTACTAGAAATGTTTGAGCAATTGGGAGTGTCAGTTATCTGGTCTCATGTAGTCTCATGAAAGACCATGAACAGTTACTTTGAGGGTAGGGCGGAAGAAAGAAAACTTTTTCTCATATGAGGTTTATAAATTATCACCACAGGCTTCCCCTACGAACGAGACTATCTCCTGTTCTCATGATGCACTAGTGACAGAAAACATATGACTAATGGAGAGAAACTGGTAGATACACAAGAAAAAAACATGGAATAATTTCCATCTTATAAAGGATCAGCATTAACATTTATCAGAATATGGTGTGGAGAGTCGTTCAACTCAGTACATGTTGAGTTCTATAGAGTACATGATACTGTCCTATGCCAGTGAGCAAGTCATAATGTAAAACAATACATCCAAATCCTTAGGAATGTGTGTCTTTGTAGGGTGCACCCCAGAATATTTACACACTTACATCACAAACTGGATCACAAACCACATCTCAGCAAATTTCAAAAGACTGAAACCATATTTAATATGAATAAAACTGAAAATCAAGCATATACAGTTGTCAAAGGATTCCAAATGCTTGCAACTTAAGAAGCAAAATCCCCAATGACTAATGAGCTGGTAAATTGAATTAGAAGTTAGAATAGGCATTGAAATTAATTTTGGTTTTAAAATACTATGAGATGGTGTGAAATAGAATGTTTATGGGACCTGGATATGGTGGGTGCACATTTGTAATCGCAGTACCTGGAAAGCAGAGGTGGGTGGGAGCTCAAGGTCATATTTGGGCACAAATAGAATTCAAGAGAGGCTGGTCTGGGCTACATGAGACCCTACCTCAAAAAAAAACCACTCAGCTGTAAACATACCTAAATATTTATGTAGAAATACTAGGAAGAGGTTGTTAATGTTTTTAAAAGCCACTGGATGAGCTTGGGATTCAGTGCCCATGGATGGAGACCAAAAGACAATGTTGGATCCCCTGGAAGTGTAGTTAAGGTTATGTACTACTACCTCACGACTTGATACTACCATAGTACCTTGGTACTATGGACCAAACCCCCATCCTTTTCAAGAGCAGCAAGAACCTTTACCTCTGAGCCATCTCTTCAGCCTGACTTTCCTGTAGGCTAGTTTTCTGGCTGTCTGAGCAGAACGATTTGCTGAGTGGAGAGAAAGACTGAACTTAGACTGGGTGGCCTGAATTTTCATGACTAAGTGACAATGAGGAGGGAAGGTATGCACACAGAAACTTCCATAACTCTACAAAAAGATTACTGTTTACCTTTTGTTCAACACTTAGCTTCCCGATTCTCAAAACTGGCACAAGACTGGGACCATTTAACCTCCATCCAGCCCCAGATAACAGTCTGCACTGAGAAAAGGATCCCTGAAAGGTTATACATAATGCCAGGGGGCTCAATTGGCCAGATTAAAGCTACCCACCCAACAAGGAACTTTAGAGCAAGCTGGAATAGAATCCTACTGATCCAATATAAATTCCTCCCAGAACAAAGTGCAAGTTTGTTAGTCCAGCCTCCCAACAAGCACTTACAAAGACTTGATTATAAGAGTCTCATTTGAGGAAATGCCTGTGAGAGTTGAAAATGAGTGGAATCCAGAGGAGGTAGAGTGTTTAAATCGTGTAACCTACAAACCGGATGCATGCATGCCTTGGTATACCTGCCAACTGGTCCAGACCTGGTTAAACATATTTTCTGGGTATGTCCATAGGATATTTCTAGAAGAGATTAATATTTGAGCTGACAAATCAAGTCAAACAGATTGTGGTCCCAAATATGGCTAATCTATAGAGGACTTGAATAAAGCCAAAACAGAAATGAGAGGTCAAGTTCTTTATCTCCCTATTGAAGTGAGGCCTCCGTCTTCAGATCTTGGACCAGGTCTGACACCATCAGTGCTCCTGGGACTCAGGACTTCAGATAGCAGATGATAGGACCTTGACTTTATACTGGTGTAAGGCAGTTCTTTATAGTAAATATCTGGAGCGATAGATGAATGTGTCATATTGGTTCTGTGTCTATGGGAAACCCTAATAGAAAAAGATAGAATATTAAAATGTTTGTGCTTCAGCACAATTCTAATCAAGTTTAAGGTTGGCCAATAAATCAAAGTTTTCCAGTGGAGACATCCCCTGCTTCACAAGAATGTGTCTACATTAATACACCTGCTTTACTGTTACTGTTCTCAAGGAATGAGCCTGAGAGACATGTAGCCATGGCAGGAAAGTAATAGTGGCTTCAGAGAAGCAGCAAGGGTCATGTAAACTCTCCCCAAGCAAAAGGTCCAAGTGGTGCAGTTTCACCTCTATCTCAGTTTACCCCTTCTGCCTTTCTGCTACTTGTTGATGACTTGGTGTGACTGCCAAAAAGACAGTTAGGAGCCAAAATCAACTACAAGCCTAGGCTAACCAATTCTAGAAGGAGACAAATATTCTCCTTTCTCAGTGAGTAGTCACCCTAATAATTGGCCAGAAGTCCATCTGAGGAAGAACTGAAGAATCATCACAATATGCACATGTCATTATATAACAGGGCCTTTATTTGTTCAGGCTGAGCCACTTTTCCCATCTCTGTAATCCTTACAATTTTCTTCATGTCTGGTAACCGGAGCAAGAAATTGTAAAGATTCATCAGGGACAGTACCATTAACATCTTGCTTTTCCATTCTTGCCTTAATTAGTTATAGAAGTTAAGCAGCATCCTTGCTACTTGCTCATCTGTTTTGCCTGTAGGGGTGTTACCTTCAATTAATCATCTCCCTAACACCCTGTGAGTCAAGCCCACTTAACTACCCCTCCAATTTCACTAGTTGTTACAGTAATTACGGCCTCTTGGCTTTTGGTAGCTAAGCACCAGTCCTGCAGGGCCCTTTATTACTTCAGGGTCCATTACCCTGAGTGATATTAACAAGCCCAGCTCCGTGACGGCCTCCTCTTCAGCCCTAACTGAATACAAGCACCACCACTTATCATGATGATACTGGTCCCCTCTCATAGGAGTGCTCTTGATGGCCTCAGTGAATTGTGTGTCCTGTGGTCCTTGCCTTGAAACAAGCCACATGGGTTTTCTTCTCTCACAGCATACCAGCTCCAGTATGACCAGTTCCCTCAGTTGGTTTATATCTTCCCTGTTTACCAGAGCAGTGTGTACATCACTACTTTGCTCAGAAAGGACCCTTTCTCTTTTTAGGCTTTTCAGAGCTGCAGGGAAATTGTTTCATTCCCTGATATTTCTACTGCAGTAATATCTTAGTCCATTCATGCATCTATAACAAAATATCTGAGGCTGACTATTTCACAGAGAAAAGTAATTTATTTCTCACAGATCTTGAGGCTGGAAATACAAAATGTCAATAAGTTCGGTGTCTCGCGAGGGCCCAGTATGTCTCTCTGAGTTTTATACTCCAGAAGGATCACAGACTATTTCCACATGGTAGAATGGAGGGCTAAAAGAGGGATCTAGATAGCTCCCCTGTAAACCTTCTTAGAGGTCATGAATCTCATTCGCCTTCATTAGTTAACCTCTAAAAGGCACCATCTGTTAATATGTTCACACTTGCAGTTAACAGTTTTATCACATGAACATGGGGAGACAGCATACCATGCCAGATGATAAACACTTCGCACCACTGAAATACTCTTAAGTAAATAAATTCTTATATTTCTACCCTCATATTTTAGACCCCTCAAAAAAGCAATGAAAAGATATACTCCCAGTAATATGTCCTGGTTCTTGCAGAAGATGTTCCCTGCATCTTCTTCAGTATATAGCATCGTCAGTCCCAGCATATCTCAACTGACTTTGTGCAGAATTTTTTAACAAGTCATCATCCTAGCAGTCAGGAAAGAAGATAGTTTATGGCTGTACGTTTACAAATTTACCTCTCAAGAACTGCCCCTTGGTTCTCGATCCACACAGCTTTCCACAAAGTGAACTTGGGGCCAATTCAATCTCATTGTTAAACTCTTCTAAATCCTTAAGAGGAAATCAGTACCAAGCTTGCAGGATTTGTCAATTGATTAGGGATATATCAACGTGTTCGACCTGATACAGGAAATAAGTACTTGCTCCCTGCTGTAGATGAACTTTGGAACCAAAATCTGACATAACATCAAAAAAGGAAATTATTACCCCAAATATTTCCTGAATCAACCTGAAATTTTCATAGAAATAAGGTATTTTGCTTGTTATAAATTTGTTAATCTGTTAATTTTAAATATATGATCAATTATGGACAAGCAAAATACACAGAAATCTTGAACAGTTTCTAGATTCCAAGGTCTTTCATTCTTGCCACAAGTGAACAGTTTCAATACACTGTAAAGACATGAATCTCATCCTCATTCGTAACATAGGGCCTGTTAGGCTACATCTCTCTGTATACTTGGGTAGTTGTAACATTCATACAACATTTTCCTGGGCAATATTCTCCATACTTTGATAGTTTCAGAGTATCTCGTAATCCTAAAATGGATAGCCTATGGAAACACATCATAAACTTCACCTTTCAAGAATTCCCTTTATTTATGTAAAGTCCTTTGCCACTATGGAAACAAAGAGCTTCACCCCTGTTCTTCGTGCTTTTTTCCTAGAAATAATCCCCCAGATGCCTCCAGAGATTAAGTAATGGAAGCTAGCTGTCCAATTTTCTGCTTGGGAGCCAGTAAGTCTCACAAACGTCGATGCTCAGATACTAAACAAAATATTATCAAACGAAAGTTGCAGTGTAATAAAGGAACAGTACATCATGAAATGGTTTAACATTTTAAAATTAATTAATGCAATTCATCATATAACAGAATAAGACAAACCATATGTCAGTAGCTGCAGAGAAAGCAAACAAATCAACATGTATTAACAATATAAATAAAACTGGGAGCAGAGGGGAAATTGATAGTTATCTATTAAGAAAACATACAGTTGGCATGCTACTTAGTAGTAAAACATGGGTTTTCCCCACAACTGTGGTTTGTCCTTGTCATGCGTATCAGGCATACCACGCATGACTGTGCATGTAGAAAACCCAAACTGTTCTACAGGCTATGAGAATGACTGAAATTTAATGTCAAAATACCAAGAACTATATCCTTACATTACATCAACTGAACAAATTAAAATACTTAAAATTTATTAAGAAGAGCAAGTTTCAAATATGTAAGAACAAGACAGTTGGAAGATTTATGATTTTCTACACTGAAAACTGGAAAGTGTTACCAAGAATGTAAACACTTAAATAACTTGGGGTATAAACTGTTGAGGCATAGAAAAGCTGATGTTTTAAAGATCAATATTTTGAATGTACTCAATATTTATTGTCTGTGAAATCTCCATCAAGCTCCCAGGAGATCAATTTATTCTGATGAAATTGATAAACTGAGTGAAATGTATTTAGATATTGAGTGGATTTGTGACAACCAAAAGAGCCGTGAAGAACATCTTCTGGGCCATCAATAACTAAGCAAGCTACATAAATTGGGGTCCTTCTGTGTTTGTACAGTTCTGACTACTGAACCAATGGAATACATAAAGAA